AAATGTCTGCATTTGTTCTGAATATGTCTAAAGGAAGTTTGAATGATGTCTTACTGAATGAGGATATTCCACTCAATTGGGGTTTCAGGTATGTTAACATTAGATACAAATAGATAGATAAAATAGATAAAAACTTTATTGCAATCACAAACTTTTACATTTCTAATTTGGTGTTCTAATAAAGTAAATAACCAGAGCCAAATAAATACATATAATGTTGTGGTAACCATTGGAAACCAAATGTGGCATCTGCCACTTATCTTTCACAAAATATTACATATTTTTTCACCTATTTTGCGTATAAAATTTTACAAGATTCATCCAACAAATCCACATATCAAGTATCAGCCTAGCAGTCTTCAATAAAAAAGTCTAAAACAGCATTTTTCACCATAAATATTTACTAAAATTAGGGAATTGAATGTATCATCACAAAATAAACAAATTGACTCAGGTCAATCCAAGGCACCCACATATAAAATATGTAAGTAAATCAGGCAAGCCATCCCCAGAAAGAAGTGAAAATAAAATTTTTACCAAAATTAAAAAATACCCGGTAGACAATAAAATTATGGAATGTAGTTCATTATTATTGTAGGGGATTATAGTGAGTGTATGAAACCCACACAGTTATATTTTAAGATGGAAAATGTCAGGTTTACAATAATGACAGACAATCAGAAATAATAAAAAATGACATACTTGTGAAAAGGTATGACATATGTATAGCCCAAGACAATCATGTGACACTATTGTTTATAAGTTGTTTAGAATACCTGTCTTCGATTTTTCTATTGTAATTTTAGTCTGGAGTAAGTAAATGTGCTAGGAGATAGGATTAACTAAAGTAGTCCATAAATTGTTCATTAAATCAGCTTTACATTTCTCTCATTTGTAAGAGACATTACAGTTGTTTTCAATTCAAATCGTTTAACACATATCGAGAATTTTGAAGTATTTTGCAAAGTTACAGCAGGGTGTGAAATAGTATCTATTATTAGTTAACTATAATGTTTCACATTATAATCATTGAAATTTAAAATGAATAAATTAAGCACTTAGCCGTTACAATGATTGGGGTATTCAATCATTTAATTGACAAATGGTTGTTGAACCATCATAATGAGACATTGAGTATGTTGAGTACTGGGGTCACTGCACCATTTAAGTGGAAAATTAGTTAAACTAATATGTGAAGTCTGTCAGTTGTAAACATTTACCAACCTCAGCTTATTTCAAGGTTTATTTACTGTGTGAATTATAATTCCATTGAAGTACCCCACAGTGGTTCAGTTCTGCAGGGTCAATGAACTCTCACCTGGGATTTACTGATACAAACACTTGTTTACAACTCCAAACAGAGATTCTGCTTCATTTTCATGTACCAAGTTTTTTTTGTTTTCAACAGATTTTCATTTTGTGGCGATATTTCAAGAGCAATGGTTTACCTCCACCAGCACAAACTTTACCATGGCAGACTGAAGTCGAACAACTGTATCATTGATGATAGATGGGTAGTCAAAGTGTCAGGTGAGTTCAATGACCTTTGATGTTATGTTAGGAAGACAGTTCATATAACAATAATGAATTGTTTATAGTGGCCATAGCAGTCGAAGTCATAATCACTGTATTGGATTGTTTGTGAACATTTAGCACATTGAACACTACACATTGTGATGGAACACTACACAGTGCGATGGCACCCACATTGAACACTACACATTGTGATGGAACACTACACAGTGCGA